TTGAAAACAAAAGGAAAGTTTGACATACATATATAAAAAAAAAAAAAAAAAAAAAAAAAAAAAAAAGTTTGAAAACGAACAAGGAAACAGGGCGACGGATGCACCATGAAACAAACCCCTCGGTTCATTTCATGGTGCATCCGCCGCCCTGTTCCCTCGTTCGTTTCCAGTCTTTTTTTTTTTTCTTTGTTAAATCGTTCGAAGTTCTCTGTGTGACGTTGTGGTCCCCCATGCATGTATCACCGGCTCGACGGACTGGCGTCCTCGGGGTCTCCACCCCGCATTCCCTTCGGCGGTCGGCCATGACGCAGACCAACAGTTGCAACACGGCGTTTCCCTCCTTAATGGCGCTTGCAACTGCGCCAACTTGGGTTGCAACCAGGTTCGCACCCTCTGTGCTTGCCCTGGCAAGAGTGCTTGCTGCCATGTCCATCCCTTCACGCACCACCATACTAGAATCGAGCACAACCCTCTCCATAGACGACACTGGCAGGTGATCATTAGCACCCTCTTTGCCCGTTGCCCCATCCCGTTTCTTTCGGAAGCCCACCGATTCTGCAACATTTGAACGAGTATGGCTCCCACCTTCTAACGAGCCATGCCCAACAGGTGTTTGCTTATCGGAAACACTGCTTTCAGCACCCTGCAAGTTTGATGATGCCATGGTATTGTTGCGAGCGACTGACGACTTTCGATGTGCCCACTCCATCTCCTCCCACAACGATTGCTTAAACGTCGTCGAGATTCCCTCCCTTTTCTTGTCTTCGACGCTCATCTCCCAATATGAGGGTTTCCCCGATGTGTTACACTTGTGCAGAATGTCCTTCATCTTGCTCATGAGGTCGCACCACTTCTTCCTGCAGTCTTCCGCCGACCTGATCCAACCTGGCGCCTTCATCTTCTTGGACACACACTCGACGCACTCGTTCCTCACTGACCTTCCCACGTGTTTCCGCCGACCAGACGCCATTGTCTTCATGGTGCTGTCCTCCTTCATGAACCTAGCCAAATCAATGCGCTCCTCCAACGGCCATGGCCTGGTTCTCCTCTTCCCCGTCACTTAGCCTCCCTCGGGCTGCGTGGCGTCATCACCTGTATCCACTTCACTTCCAGTTTCAGGCACCCGTCCCCCGACACTGGCCCTCCCGCTTGGTCGTTTGGCCTCTCGTCCACGTGCATCCACCACTACCAGATGTGAATCTTCTTTCGTGTGTCGCATGGTGGGTGATGGATCGCGCCCATGTCGCACGACGTCCGCCAATAGGGGACTGCATCGGTCGGTCATGTCTCCATGGTCCCTTGCTGATGGGGACGCACCGACGCCTTGCGGCATCCTCTGCACGTCTTCAGCGACACCACCCCCAATAGTGCGGAGGTTCGCCCACGCCCTCTCCACAATGCCGATGCGTAAGTGATGAACCAAAAGCATACAGGCGGGAGCAGGAGGAGGAATAAAGGAGGCGCCTTGGGAAGGTTGCGGACTTGAAGTCACCAGGATCCGCGTACTGTCAATGGGGCCACGTGCAGTTCCACCCACCGACGCCACTGCTGCCGAAGGTGGAGGACGAATGTGTGTACCGAGGTCCGAAACTGGTCTGGACGGTGCATCCATGCCAGATGCGAAGGTAACCGGGAAACGCATGTGCGCGGGTGATTGAGTGCCATGCGGCGCCCAGATCTGCGGGTCCGATGTCATAGATGACAGCCTCATGGACAGTTGGGCTTTGAAACAGAGGTTCTCGTCCTGCATGTACCCCGGAAACCAGCTGCGTGGCCCTCCCGAACCTGGTATGTCCGACGCCCATCCACTGCCATCCATTCCTGCGATGTAAATGCCTGCCCGCACCGCCGTCAACTACACTTCTGACGTGACAAAATGCAGAGGTTGGCCAGTAGCAGGACAAGGATGACAAACAGCGGACCTGATCCAACCTACCGCCTTCATCTTCTTGGACACCCACTCGTTCCTCGCTGATCTTCTCACGTGTTTCAGCTGACCAGACGCCACTGTGATCATGGCGTTGTCCTTCGTGAACCTCACCAAATCAATGCGCTCCTCTCGCGGACATGGCCTGGTTCTCCTCTTCCCTATCACTTCGCCTCCCGCGGGCTGCGTGGCATCAACATCTGTATCCACTTCACTGCCAGTTTCAGGCACACGTCCCCCGACATTGCCCCTCCCGCTTGGTCGTTCGACCTCTCGTCCACGCGCATCTGCCACTGCCGGATGTGACTCTTCTTCCGCGCGTCGCATGCTATGTTACCGCGCGTTCATTGAACGCGCGTTTCACGTTCAGGATTTGAACGCGGTGAACGCGTGTTCAGTGAACGGGCGTAAACGCGTTTGACGCATTTGCGCAGGGGGTTGTGCGGGGTGGGGGAGGCCTTTGGGCAGTGGGGGGAGCAGCGGCGGTGCTTGGGG